CAAATTTGGAAGACTAATTCTTCCTGATTTCAAAACTTACTACTAAGCTACAATAATCAAAACAGTGTGGTACTGGCATAAATACAGATATATAAACCAATGGAATGGAATAGAGTCCAGTAACAAATCCTTGAATACATGGTCAAATAATTTTTGACAAGGGTGCCAAGGCTGTTCAGTGGGGAAAGGACAGTTTTTTCAATAAATGGTACTGGGAAAACAGGGTATCTATGTACCAAAGAATGAAGTTGGACCCTTATGGAAATTAACTAAATAGGTCAAAGACCTGAAATGTGAAAGCTTTGAAGAAAACATAGGACAAAGCTCCCAGCATTGGATTTGGCAATGATTTGTTGGGTATGACACTGAAGGCACAGGCAACAAAAGAAGAAATAGACAAATTGAACTTCATGAAAATTAAAATCTTCTGTGCACCAAAGGATACTATCAACCATGAAAAGGCAACTTACAGAATGTGGGACAATACTGGCAAATTGTATGTCTGATAATGGGTTGATATCCAGAATATATGTAGAATTCTTAAAACTCAGCAACTACAAAAAACCTGATTCACAGCTGGGCAAGGGACTTGAGTAGACATTTCTCCAGAGAATATATATAAATGGTTCATAAGCACATGAAAAGATGCTAAACATCACAAATCATTAGGGAAATGCAAATCAAAACCACAATGAGATACCACCTCACACCTAGTCAGATGGCTACTATAAAAAGAAAACAAAACAGGGACGCCTGGGTGCTCAGTCAGCTAAGCGGTTGCCTCCGGCTCAGGTCATGATCCCAGGCTCCTGGGATCGAGTTCCACATGGGGCTCCCTGCTCGGCGGGGAGCCTGCTTCTGCCTCTCCCCCCCACCCTTGTGCTGCTCTCTCTCTCTCTGACAAATAAATCTTTAAAGACAAAACAAAACAAAAAGTGTTGGTGAGGATGTGGAGAAATTGGAACCCTTCTGGACTATTGGTGGGAATGTAAAATGGTATAGCTACTGTGGAAAACAGTATGGAGGTTTGTTAAAAATGGAATTACTATATGATCCAGCAATTGCATTTCTGAATTATATACCCCAAAGAGTTGAAACTAGGGTCTTAAAAGAGATATTTTTACACCCATGTTCATAGCATTATTCACAGTAATTAAAACTTGGAAACAACTCAAGGGTCCATGATGTATGAATGACTAAACAGAATGTGGTATATACATAAAATGGAATATTATTTAGTCTTAAAAAGGAAGGAAATTCTGATTCATGCTACAATAGAGATTAACCTGTTGAGGACATGATGCCAATTGCAAAAATGCAAATACTGTATGCTTCCATTTATATGAAATACCTAGAGTAGTCAAAAATCATAGAGACAGAAAGTATAATGATGGTTTCCAGGAGTTGGGGAGAGGGACAATGGAGAATTATTGTGTGAAATGTGTAGTTTTAGTTTTGTAAAATGAGTTCTGGAGATGGTGGTGATGGGTGCATAACAGTATGAATGTGTTTAATATCATTGAACTTTACACTTAAAAATGATTAAGATGGTAAATTTTATGTTACTTGTATTTTGCCACAGTAAAAAAATCATTTAAAAAACGTAATTAAGGGGGCGCCTGGGTGGCTCAGTCATTAAGCGTCTGCCTTCGGCTCAGGTCATAATTCCAGGTCCTGGGATCGAGCCCCGCATCGGGCTCCCTGCTCAGCAGGAAGCCTGCTTCTCCCTCTCCCACTCCCACTGCTTGTATTCCCTCTCTCGCTGTGTCTCTCTCTGTCAAATAAATAAATAAAATCTTAAAAAAAAAACATAAGGCATGTTAAAGATTCAACTCAATACCCATTTTGGTTCCTACTAGCTAGTAGGCACTGTGGTGCATCCTGGGAATAAAGATGATGAAGATACAGTTGTAGCCCCCAATATGCTCAAAGTCGAAGTGTACTTGGAAACAAATAATTATACTATAGTGTGATAATGAAAGAGAATTTTGTGAGAGGGGAGGTTTCAGAGGGTAGAGGTTGGTTGCCTGAGTTGAGTTGTAAAGGATGTCTGTCCTAAGCCAAAAGGTGATGAATAAGAGCATTGAAGTCTGGAGTCAAATAAGTTGTATGTGAACATAGTGGGTCAGATAAGTTGGTAAGTTAAAGTTTTATATGTGGGACGATGATGGGCAGCAGGTGTGGTCCACAGAAGTAGGCTTTAAAAGAGGTTTGTTTGTTACAGAGTTACATTAAAGAGTTTTAAACATAAATTGTGTGCTTTACAGAGGGAATAGTGTGTGTGTGTGTGTGTGAAGAATAGATTGGGGAAAGATAAAAGTGGAGGCATGGTAAGCTATGGCAATAAGTTAGGTGAGTGAGAATCAAGGCCTGAATTAACTAGTGGTAGAACTGGAGAAGAGAGAAGAGATCTGAGCATAAATTGAGGAGTAACAGCCATAGAGTTTGGTGCTTTTATAAATTGTGGCTCAGGGACACGAAATAGGTGAGCATGACTTATAGATAGGATTTTGATATGGTCTGTGGTTCTGTCAGCTAAGCTAGGGAAGACTGGAATGAGAGCAGATTTTGCAGAGTTCATGGGAAAGAGAGGGGATAAGAGGGTAGAAAGAACCAAGATCGGTTTTAGATTTAATTTGAGGCCCCTGCACAGATCCTTTCAGATAACTTTACTGAGGTCAGCTGTAATATTGTTCCTCAACATCTCACTTGGTGCCAGTATCAGAGTCATAATAGTGAGCTTTTTTTTATTAGGTTTGTTTGAAATACTTAAGATGGATTCAGAAAAAAGCAGCAAACCCTGTTAGTTAAGATCTTTGTGCAACTGAGGTTTTTTATTTGGAAGAAAAATGAAATAAATTTAATTGTTACTTTCTAGTGTATGTATTTTACAAATTCTTTAAATTTTTCTCACGTATATCCTTTTGACATATATATTAGGGGTTTTTATTTTTTAGGTTTTTTTCCCCATGTAAATTGATGCATAACAGTGTTACAGTAAGTTTTCTAACAGCCATAAACGTGTGGTGCATTTTGGAAATAGTTCCTGTTTTTATTCAGTGAGTGTTAGTGGATTTATGTTCTTTTTAACATAAGGAAAACCACTTAGATTGGCTTAAAAATTGTAGGAAAAAATAAATCTAAATTGGAGGGTAGGAAGAGCTTAAATCTAAGGTTCTGAAACATACCATTAGAGAGGTTCATCTCTCTGTCTCTCACAAACACATACACATACATGTAGACATAAAATATTCTTTTGTAAAAAGCTTGTTTCTCTGGGTTGTTTAAATATAATGCTGCTCAGGGGCACATCAGTTGAATCTTAAATCTTTCATGTGGTAGTGTGCCAGTTCCTTTATGCTCATGGTTGACAGGTAACAAAAACTCCTACTTTGGTTTAGCTAGGTTATTAATAAGGTAGAAGTATTGCTGAGTCGTAGTTTCCTACCTTCTCAAGGTGGCTGTCAAGGGGCGCCTCGGTGGCTCAGTCGTTAAGTGTCTGCCTTCGGCTCAGGTCATGATCCTAGGGTCCTGGGGTCGAGCCCCTCATCGGGCTCCCTGCTCTACGGGACGCCTGCTTCTCCCTCTCACTCCCCCTACTTGTGTTCCCTCTCTTGCTGTCTCTCTCTCTCTCTCTGTCAAATAAATAAATAAATAAATCTTAAAAAAAAAAAAAAAAGGTGGCTGTCAAGTTGTTGTGGACTCCTACACAAGCAGTTTTACTTTAAGTATCTGTCTGAGAAAATACGCTAAGACCAAAGACTATTTTGAATTCAGCAGCTGTTTTGAATGAACTCTTGTTTTGTTTTTAATTTAAATCCGTAAAAAGTAGTTCAAATAATCCTGAGTACTATATGGATTTTCAAACCACTTGCTAAAGCTGGAGTCCATGAGGGGGTAGGACTATGGGTTGGGAACCACTGCTCTGGAGAAAGTCTTAAAACATGCTTACTTCTCTGGGTGTTAAAATTTGAGATGTAGTCTGGAATAAAGATAGTATCCTTATAATACCCATCTCTGTCTGCACCTAGCAAAGTAATGGGACTTCTTTTTTGGTGTGGACTACGTATATTATCTTCACGGTGCAGTACAGGCATTTTTTTGCCCCTTTAGAAAGTAGTTTCTTACAGGGCGCTTGGGTGGTTTAGTCGGTTAAGCATTGGACTCTTGATTTGGGCTGGGGTCATGATCTCAGGGTTATGAGATTGAGCCCTGCACTGGGCTTCTCTTCTCCCTGTCTCTCTCTGCACCCCTCCTCCATGCTTGCACAAGCTCTCTCTCTCGGAAAAGAGAAAAGTTTCCTACATGAAAAAAAAAATGTAAGCAATCAGGTCTTTCTCTACCTCTCATCTCTAGAAATAGGCCTATTTTAAAAGGTAAGGCATACCTACTTAATTCTTCTGAAATAGTTCTGGAATTTTGGATATATGAAGTTATGCTGATTTGTGTTTCATTTTTATCTTTTACGGTGGTACTTAATTTTTTTTTGTTCTTGAATATACAGAAAAGTATATGCTCACCAGCTAGAGATAACCAATGTTATTAATATGGTCTCAAAGTTAATTGAGATCACAGTTTGGCATCCTTTCTTCCTCTTTAAATTAGTCAACTAACGTTTATATATTTTTTATGTCATTAAAAAGCCTTTGTAAAATTTTTAAATGGAAAAATGTTTATATATATAATTGTATCATAATTTAGCATTTTTCCTAATGTTGGCTTATTATTATGGCTGATAAGTTAAGAGTAATGAAAGATCACACTACTTCTGATATAAATATTGGTCTAGTATGTATGTGACATAGTGTATTGATCCAGATTCATCATTTATCTTTGGAGTTAATCGCTATTCAAGTGAATTTCATTTCAAGTTACTTTATTGACTCCATTCTGTGTTTTCTCTTCTCACATCAGTTCTTACTGAATTATTATAGCTTCAGGTTTTATTTTTCTTTCTAAAATATTTGCTCACTAATTCAGATTTAAATACTGATGTTTAGGATAAAGATGGAGATAGAGCCGTTCACCATGCAGCTTTTGGAGACGAAGGTGCTGTTATAGAAGTACTGCACCGGGGCAGTGCTGACTTGAATGCTCGCAACAAGCGCCGACAGACGCCACTTCATATCGCTGTCAATAAAGGCCATCTGCAGGTCGTGAAGACTTTATTGGACTTTGGCTGTCATCCTAGTCTCCAGGTAAAACTTTTAATGACAGCTATTCTGCAGGCATTGCTAGGATTCTGTTAAGAGGAAATACTAAATTCTGTGGTAAGCATTCCTTTGTTATCAGTTCATTTTTGTTTGATCATTCTATGTGATAAAATTGGCAGCTGTTCTTCTTAGAAAAGACTTTTTAAGGAAAGTGTCAGTAGATTGGTTTTATATTGGAGGGTGGGGATGGGGATTTCCTTGCAAAAATATCAGCTTATGAATTGATTTAACTTTATTGATCATGACTGAGCTTCAGCAGCTTAAGAAGTATAATAGGCTGCATTTAATGATAGTTACTTTATCTAAATTATTTCAGTTGTAGCTTAATTTATCTTCGGGTCTTGGTCTAGTCATTAGTTTAGGAAGATTTTCTGTTTTGGAAAATATACAGGGTTTTAGGGTTGATTTTCAGTAGGACCTAATTTTTGAGGCAAGAGTCACTTAAGAGATGATTCCTGTCCACAGTTTTAGCAGCCAGATGGATTCGATTGGATAGATGTCAGAGAAGCAACAAAGAAAAAAAATAGGAGTAATGGGACTGAGGGTTTGGGAACTGAAAGAATTGGAGATTTTATTCAGCTAGATGGTTTTCAGAGACTGATATTTCTGAGGCACAGCATTTTGGAACTGACAGGGTTTGGAACTTAGAGCCTCTAAGTGGATTATAGAATTGGAGGATGGGGGAGGAATTAGAGGGTGGTGATCTGTTGAAGGAGAGAGAATTTGTACCTATTGATTTTGGGGGGTCTGAAATGGCAGACAAAGTCATCTGTTGAGAGTGAATGGGGAGTAATAGGTATAGAAAAGGTAATTGAGAAGAGTGATAAATGTTTGGAATAGCTACTCTGGGGACCAGAAGGAAGGACGATCAGGGCCAGTAGAAGCTTATTCCAGCCATATTAAGAACCTATCCCTTGGGACGCCTGGGTGGCTCAGTCGGTTAAATGTCTGCCTTCGGCTCAGGTCATGATCCCAGGGTCCTGGGATCGAGTCCCACACCAGGCTCCTTGCTCAGTGGGGAGTCTTCTTCTCCCTCTGCCTGCCGCTCCCCCTGCTTGTGCTGTTTCTCACTTGTACTCTCTCTCTGATAAATAAATAAAATCTTAAAAAAAAAAAAAAGCCTATCTCAAGTTGAAGACTGAATTTTTAGTGCCACTAGATAGGAGGCTAGAAAGTGGCTGGTTGGATTGAACTTGGGTTAGGAATTTGTTTTGAGGGTAGATGAGGATATGCCTGGGATTGGCCAACTTTTTCTGTAAAGGGCCAGATGATAATTAGGCTTTCATGTAGTTTCTATCATGACTATCCAGTGTTGCAGTTGTAGCATGAAAGCAGCCATCGATAATACATAAATGGATGTGTATGGCTGAATTCCAATAAAACTATTTACAAAAACAGGTGGCAGGCTGAATTTAGCAACCATGGTATAAACCATAGGTATGACTTAACTGAGAATAGTATTTATGAAACTATGAAATAAATGAGGTCTAAATTACCCACTTATGCAGATAATCTGCTAAATCAGTTGATTGATGAAAAAGGCTTGAAAAAAAGGAAGACCGAGACTGCTAAATTTTCTTTTACATTTGTTTCTATTTTGATTAATTAGCCACTTTCCTGCTCCTTGACAACATTTAGATTAATATTTTCACCCATGACTACATAATATATTCAGCTGGGGGGCTCTGAAAAACTGCTAATGCCTGGGTCTCACCCCTAGAGATTCTGGTTTAGTTGTCCTGGAGAACAGCCTGAGTATCTTTTTTTTTTTTTTTTTAAGATGTAGTTATTTATTTTAGAGAGAGAATGCATGCTCATGCATGAGCGGGATTGGCAGAGGGAAACGGAGAGAGAATCCCAAGCAGACTGTGTCAATCATGGAGCCTGACACAGGGCTCAGTCTCACGACCTTGAGATCATGACCTGAGCTGAAATTGAGAGCTGGAAGCTTAACTGCGCCACCCAGGCGCCCTGTGCCTGGGTATCTTTTTAAGAGCTCCCCTACAGATTCTGAATGTGCAGCCAAGGTCAAGGACTATTGACTTTCAATTCATTGCTCTAGGGCCCCAAGACTGGTGTTAGGTTTGTTTTGAAAGTTTAGGACATAATGATTACTGACTGGTAGGAATCTGGTATAGTAGGCCATTTTAAACTAATGAATTCTGGGGGCAGCTTTTCACCTCATTGATTTTTGTAATTAGCTGAATCATATTTGAGGGTACTTTTTAATTTTATTTTTCCTTTTCTTTGGTAGGCTACAACATGTTCATTGTGTTCTCCATCGAGATTGAGTATGAGTTTAATATAATGAGGCTAATGTTTCTTGCCTACATCTTAAAATTTAACACAGGATGTTTATTGAAGGTTACTGGATATGGCTTCTGTTTAGTAGTTCAGTATACATATTAATATTACATGTGATGTTTGATTCAAGAACTAATGAAAGTCTCTCTAAATTAAAAAAAAGGATTCTGAAGGTGATACCCCTCTTCATGATGCAATAAGTAAGAAACGTGATGACATTCTGGCAGTTCTTCTAGAAGCTGGAGCAGATGTTACCATTACAAATAATAATGGATTTAATGCTCTACACCATGCTGCACTAAGAGGAAATCCCAGGTAAAGATCTCACCTGTACTATTTTGTTTGCAGTTTAAAAATATTTTCCTAGTGCTGGTTCTCTTTTTCTGATACTGATGAGGAAATAATGGCATATTTTAGTACCTTATAAATCATTTTAAAGTCTGGAAATTATGTCTTCACTAAATAGATTAGTTTTATATTATTTTTTTATTGTTAAACTAATACAAGTATTATGAAATGACTTACATATATTAAATATGTATATAAAGTATCAAGAATACTTGCTTATATCTAAAGATTTAATTAAAATGCATTCCAGTCTGGGGCACCTGGTTGCTCAGTTGGTTAAGTGTCTGCCATTGGCTCAGGTCATGATCCCAGGGCCCTGGGATCGAGCCCCGCATCGAGCTCCTTGCTCTGCGGGGAGCCCGCTTCTCCCTCTCCTCCCCGCTTGTACTCTCTCACTGTCTCTCCTCTCTCTCTCAAATAAATAAATAAAATCTTAAAAAAAAAATTTTTTTTAATGCATTTCATTTTGAGATTTATGTTTCTTTAAGATCATTCTCAGTGTGTCCTCTGATCTCATGTTATCCATTTGCATGATTTTTAAGTAGGCTCCACGCTCAGCCTATAGTCCAATGCGGGGGGGCTTGAACTCAAGACCCTGAGATCAAGACCTGAGCTGAGATCAAGAGTTGGATGCTTACCTGACTGGGCCCCCCAGGCACCCCATTTGCATGATTGTTTTTTTAACTTGTGGCTAAATAACTATTAAGTACCTAATTCTTTATTAATAATATAATTTTATAGGCTTCTAGTGTAGATATTTCCCAGCCATTGTTAACAATAGTGATAGGCAGTCTGCTAGAAAAAAGATTTGCTGGTTATAGTTTGAGAAAAACTTCTGGGAAATCACAACTCATAAAGGATCTGCAGAGTCTCACAGAACAGGAAAATACTTAGTTTTGCTTAAATTAGAGCTTTCTATGAATGAATTTTTGGGAACAACTTAACCTTGAGAAGCATTTTAGAAAATTTTTGTATTAGATGTCTTCTGTTTGTAGTTGAATTAAGACTGCATATTTTGCCTGAGGGAGCTAGCTGTTCACTTTGAAGTTTATTTTGACAGTTTAATCTATCCTGAATTCTTCTTTTAAAATTGAGATAAAATTGACATATAATATTGTTAGTTTCAGTTGCACAATATAATGATTTGAAATATGGATATATTATGAAATGATTTCCATGATAAGTCTGGTTAGCATCCTTCACCACATGTAATTACATATATTTTTTCTTATGAGAAGAACTTTTTTTTTTTTTTAAAGATTTTATTTATTTATTTGACAGAGAGAGACACAGCAAGAGAGGGAACACAAGCAGGGAGAGTGGGAGAGGGAGAAGCAGGCTTCCCGCTGAGCAGGGAGCCCGATGCGGGGCTCGATCCCAGGGCCCTGGGATCATGACCTGAGCCGAAGGCAGACGCTTAATGACCGAGCCACCCAGGCGCCCCGAAGAACTTTTAATATTTACTGCTTTAGCAACTTTGAAATATACAGTACAGTATTAACTAACTATATTACATCCCCATGACTTCTTGTCCTCTGGTTCTATACTGCGTTTTTATATCATGTATCCTTCTATGATCACCACTAGAGGGGGAGCACAGAGAACGAAAGGATTTTACTGCTCTTGCTTGTTGATGCTCCTAACAATGGGTATATAATGTGGGAGGAAATAAATGACCATATTTTAGATTATGTCTTGATTTGTTTTTCAAATTACAAATATTTGAACACTTCATACTTTGGCACTGTGAAGGAGATAAAATAGTATTATATGTTCCCTGCCTTTCAAAGAGAAGATGATGATGATAGCACTTACACAGGCAAGGCCTCTACTAAATGGTTTACATGCATTATCTCCTTTAATCCTTTCAACAGCTTTTTGAGGCAGGTGTTAATATCCTCTTTTTATAGATAATATGAAGCTTATAAAGAGAGGAATTTACTTATTCAAGATCACACAGCTGACTAGTGGAGCATCTAGAAGTTGAGCAACAATCTGCCTTAATAGATTGTAGGGTGCCTGGGTGGCTTAGTCAGTTAAGGATCCGACTCTTGATCTCAGCTCAGGTCTTGATCTCAGCTCAGGTCTTGATCTCATGGTCGTAAGTTCAAGCCTTGCGTTGGACTGCACGCTGGGCATGGAGCCTACTTTATTTTTTAAAAATTTTTTTAATTTAAATTCAGTTAATTAACATATAATGTATTATTAGTTTCAGAGATAGAGGCTGGTGATTCGTCAGTCTTATATATTACCCAGTGCTCATTACATCACATGCCCTCCTTAATGTCTATCACCCAGTTACCCCATCCCCCCCACTCCCATCCCCTCCAGCAACCCTCAGTTTCCTATGATTAAGAGTCTCTTATGGTTTGTCTCCCTCTCTGATTTTGTCTTGTTTTATTTTTTCCTCTCTTCCCCTATGATCCTGTTTTGTTTCTCAAATTCCACATATGAGTGAGATCATATGATAGTTGTCTTTCTCTGATTGACTTATTTCGCTTAGCATAATACCCTCTAGTTCCATCTACATCATTGCAAATGGCAAGATTTCATATTTTTTGATGGCTGAGTAATATTCCATTATGTACATATACCACATCTTTTTTATCCATCTGTCAGTGGACATCTGGGCTCTTTCCACAGTTTGGCTATTGTGGACATTGCTGCTATGAACATTGGGGTGCAGGTGCCCTTTCGGATCACTACATTTGTACCTTTGGGATAAATACCTAGTAATGCAATTGCTGGGTCATAGGGTAGCTCTATTTTCAACTTTTTGAGGAACTCCATACTGTTTTCCAGGGTGGCTGTGCCAGCTTGCATTCCCACCAACAGTGTAAGAGGGTTCCCCTTTCTCCACATGGAGCCTACTTTAAAAAAGAAAAAAGAATAATAGCTCTTAACTACCTTGTATTACTTTTTCTGTATTATGGTTTCAAGACTGAAACACATGGACAGTGAATGATTTAACTAAGAATGTATTAATACAGCCATCAGTCCCCTTGCTGCCTCTTGGTTTAGGGTTATCTTTGAGTACTCTCTCACTAATTCTCAACTTCCAGTTAGTTCTCAAATACCATTTATTCTACTAGTCTTTTCCAATCTATCCCATTCTTCCTATTTCATTGTTGCTGACCTAATTAAGTACTTACCACTTTTACTTGAACTATTACAGTATCTTTCTAATTGTTCTCTCTGATTTGGTGTTATCTCTGATTTAACTTTCATACAGTTATCAACTTAGCATTCTAAAGGCATAGATATAATGGCACCTCTCCCCTGTTCCCAAATCTTAAGTTGCTTCCTATTGTACGTAGAATAAAATTTGTGTACCTTGAACTTGGTCTTCATACCCATTTGCGGTGTGTCTTAAGCCTGTTTTTCTAACTTTGTCTCCCACGAATTAAAATCCCTCTTCTACCTTTCCCTTCAGATGCTGTTCCCTTTTCTAAAATATCTTGTCTACTTTCCTCATCTATTTAAGCATCTTCTTTGGTCAGGATGTCCTTATCCCCTTCCCTTCTTGGTCTTAACCATCTTTCTTTCAGAGCTCCTAGCTCTCATCATTGAAATTATTTTCTGTTTGCCCTATACTAACTTGTTCTTTGTTCTTATTTTATTGCACTTTATGTTTGTTAGTGTGGTATTTCTGTGTTTCTTTCTGTTAAAATTGTGGGCACTCCTTTTCATTTGTATATCCCCCACAGTGCCTTGACTGTGATAGGGACTTAATAAATGTTAGTCTTAATTTGACAGGACAATGCTAGGTGTCACAGGATGTAATGTGATTAGTTACGGATTCTGTAGAGAAACTGCTAGGAGTTCAAACAGAAATTATTTCAGATTAGAATGGTCAAAAAGAGATTTTATTGGGGCATCTGGGTGGCTCAGTCAGTAAAGCATCTGCCTTCAGCTCAGGTCATGATCCCAGGGTCCTGGGATCGAGCTCCATGTCAGGCTCCCTGCTCAGCGGGGAGTCTGCTTCTCCCTCTTCCTCTGTCCCTCCCCCTACTCATGCCCCCCCAAATAAATAAATGAAATCTTTAAAAAAAGAAATTTTATTGAGGAAGTTTAGCTTATCACATTAAATTATAAAGTTTAAGATAAACTGAATATTGAAGTGTTTAGGAAACAAATATTTTCAATATTTCACTTTACTGGGAGTAGGGGTAGTATATTTAATAATGGTAATAAGCCTATACAAGGAGGAGAGAGTATACTAACATTTCTTTAATTCTTGCATATATCTTGAGAATTCCCTTCAAAATTTATAAGGGTGATTCCTCCAATCAAATAACTGGTGTCAGGTGACATTTTTTTTTTTAGGTGACATTTTAAAAAAGGGGGAAAAAGCCATTTTTATTATGCAGCCAAGTGCTTTAGTTAAAGCTATATGATTGTTTTTTATTCCTATTTCCTTAAGACATTTCATGCAATTGTGACTATAGATTGCCAGATAGAGTGATTTTAATTGGACTCTAAAGAATATCAGTAGATTATACAACTTATATATCAGTTGAAATTGCAGATTGAGGGGCGCCTGGGTGGCTCAGTTGGTTAAGCGACTGCCTTCGGCTCAGGTCATGATCCTGGAGTCCCGGGATCGAGTCCCGCGTCGAGCTCCCTGCTCAGCAGGGAGTCTGCTTCTCCCTCTGACCCTCTTCCCTCTCGTGCTCTCTATCTCTCATTTTCTCTCTCTCAAATAAATAAATAAAATCTTTAAAAAAAAAAATTGCAGATTGAGGTTGTTTTCAGTTCTTTTTTTCATATCAGATTTTTTATTCTTAAAATATGCTTTTCTTGCCTTGTACTGATGAGTGATGTCAAAAGACAGAAGGAATCATTTTTGGTGTACTCAGAATTTTTTTAAAAAACTCTTTGGCCTTGGGGCTCCTGGGTGGCTCAGTTGTTAAGCGTCTGCCTTCAGCTCAGGTCATGGTCCCAGGGTCCTGGAATTGAGCCCCACA